AGCTAAAATAATCGCGATATTACAGGAGCTGTATGGTTGCTTTGACTCCTATGTAGGGTTGCAGGAAGCCTTCTTTTCTCGTCGACAGCAAGAAGGCGAGACTCTTCAGGAGTTCTCCCTTGCATTAATGAGCCTTATGGCATCTGTTAAACAGCGCGCCCCTAGTGACGTGCCTAATGCTGAGGTCTTACTGCGCGATCAGTTTGTTGAACACGTAACTGATGGTGCTCTTCGTCGCGAATTGAAACAGTTTGTGCGTAGGCAGCCAACCGCTACGTTGCTTGAAGTCCGGGCTGAGGCGATCCAATGGGAGCGGGAGGGTTTGCCAGGAGGAGCCAGGGGCAGAAGTTATTCTGTCCCCTCAGTTCTTGGGTTTCAGTGTGGAGCTACCAGTGGCCCACAGTTGTCCGTCAAGCCACCCCTGGCGTCCGAGCTAAGTGAGATGAAGGAGATGCTTAAACTCCAGCAAGAGCAAATCAACCAACTTACACAAAGCATTTCTCGCTTGCCGGGCCCTCATTCCCGGGGCCGCCCCTCACAGTGGGGCCCAGTTATCTGTAAGCGATGCCACCAACCAGGACATTTTGCTAGGGAATGTGACGGGGTCCGTGTTCCTCGCCCGCAGCAGCCTTTGCCTGCACAGAAGACAAGTGTACAACATAGTCCTTCACGGCCTGCGGAAAACTACCACCCGCCGAGCTGTTGAGTCACAGTTCGGCGGGCAGTGATATTGGCTCAAGAACAGGAGGTGGTTCAGAAATGCCCAACCTCATGTCCTCTTGCCCCCATATGTGTATTAATATTGGGGGTATTGCTGTTCCTTGTTTGGTGGATACTGGATCCATGGTATCTACCATCACGGAGAGCTTTTTCCATCAGCATTTTGAGCCGTGGGGCCCGGAGAAACTGCGCTTGTGTGACTGGCTACAGCTCCGTGCAGCCAATGGGTTAGACATCCCTTACCTTGGGTACATGGAACTGGATATTGAACTGTGCGGTAAGCTGATGCCAAAGTGTGGCATTTTGGTGGTTAAGGACTTGCCCAATGGTATGTCTGCACAGGCCCCTGGGGTGCTGGGGATGAATGTGATCCGCCGATGTTATGGCGAACTCTTCGGGCGACATGGTTTGGCCCTCTTTGACTTACCCTCTGTATCAGAGGCTCCTGAGTTAGTTCTGCAAGCTCTGCAAAAGTGCCATCGAGCTAGTATACGGCCCCCTGGGCCCGCCTGTGGAAGAGCCATGGTGCGGGGACGGAAGGCCTGGCGGATTCCAGGTGGTACATTTAAGATTGTGGCTGCTACCTGCTCTGAGCACTTCGCAAATACCACTGTGTTGTTTGAGCCACGAGGCTCTGGCCTTCCAGCCGGGCTACTTGCCTCACCATCTTTGGTCCAAGTGGAAAGGGGGACTGCATACATCCCCATTGTAAATGTGGGTTCCACTGATGTGCTGCTTTACCCGCGCACAGTCGTAGGGAGTTTGGAGGTGGTGAGCGTTGTGAGCCTGCCAGCAGGCGTTACAGAGGTACCCTCCTCTGTTGCCACAGTGGCTTCCCATGCAGTTGCCCCCTCCATTCCGGAGCAGATAGCGGCCATGGATTTGTCTCCCCTTCCTGCTGAGGAGCAGGATCGGCTGAGGTTGCTTCTCAGCAAGTATGAGTCTGTCTTTGCTTGTCATGACAGCGACTTGGGTTGCACTAATCTGATCGCTCATGGCATTCCGCTTCTGGATGATGTCCCAGTCCGTCAGCGGTACAGACGCATTCCTCCGTCGGATTACGACCTAGTTAAAGAGCATATTAACAAGCTGTTGGAAGCACAGATAATTAGGGAGAGCAGTAGCCCCTATGCGTCACCCATCGTCCTCGCCAAGAAGAAAGATGGTAGTCTGCGCATGTGCGTCGACTACAGGCCCCTGAACCGGAAGACCCGGAAAGATGCGTTTCCTCTTCCCCGCATTGAGGAGTCCTTGGACGCTCTGACTGGTGCTTGTTGGTTCTCCACCATGGACCTAGCCAGTGGATACAACCAGGTCCCGGTGGTTGAAGCGGATCGGCCTAAAACGGCATTCTGCACCCCGTTTGGCCTCTTCGAGTGGCCCTTTGGGCTCTGCAATGCTCCCAGTACTTTCCAACGTCTGATGCAGCGGCTCTTCGGGGACCAACAGTGTCAGTCCTTGTTGATTTACTTGGACGACATTGTTGTGTTCTCTTCCACCATTGAACAGCACTTGGAGAGACTGGAGGTTGTTCTGGGGCGTTTACAACATCAGGGCCTGAAGGCCAAGCTTGCTAAATGTGCCTTTTTCCAGCAGGAGGTGCGGTATTTGGGGCATGTGATCTCGGACCAGGGTGTTTCCACTGACCCCAGTAAGGTTGAAGTGGTAACCGACTGGCAGCCTCCAAGCACCATCTCGGAACTGCGGTCGTTCCTTGGCTTTGCCAGTTACTACCGCCGGTTCGTGAAGGGCTTTGCCAAGTTGGCCGCCCCTCTGCACCAGCTGGTAGCCAAGCTGGGGAGCACAAAATCCGGGAAGAGACCAGAGGGTGCAGTGGCAGGGAACTGGTCTGAGGAATGCCAACGCAGTTTTGAGGCCCTTAAGACCAAGCTCACCACAGCTCCTGTGTTGGCATATGCTGATTTTTCCCTCCCTTTCATTTTGGAGGTTGATGCCAGTTTTGGTGGCCTAGGAGCGGTCCTGTCACAGGAGCAGAACGGCAAGGTAAGGCCCATCGCTTATGCGAGTAGGGGCCTAAGGCCCACGGAGCACAATATGGCCAACTATAGCTCCATGAAGTTGGAGTTTTTGGCTCTTAAATGGGCCATGACCGAAAAATTTAGGGAGTATCTGCTTGGTCAGAAGTGTATTGTTTACACGGATAACAACCCCCTCAGCCACCTGTCATCGGCTAAGCTTGGGGCCACCGAACAACGCTGGGCAGCCCAGCTTGCCGCATTTGACTTTGAAATCAAATATAGATCAGGGAGGGTCAATAGGAATGCGGACACTTTGTCTCGCCAGCAGCCTCCCAGTATGCAGGACATGGAAGCCATGCTCCCGGGTACATCACTCCCGGCCTCTCTGCAGCAAGCTCTGCGGGTTTCCAAAGCAGAGGCAGGACAGGCTACCATCATAGCCCTTCCTTACCATGCCCCTGCAGAGATCTGTAGGCTGCAGCAGACCGACCCTGTTATCCAGCAGTTCCTACAGTTTTGGGAGGAAAAGCGACAACCAACCCCTGCTGAGCGTAAATTGCTCACCCCACCCGCGCTGGCTTTGCTCCGTCAGTGGGATCGTTTGGTGGAAAGGAACGGCACTTTGTACCGCCAGACCCTCCGGCCAGATGGTGCTGAGTCCGTCTGTCAGCTGCTGTTACCAGCGGTACTAAAAGAAGAGGTTTTAACAGAAGCCCATCAGAAACATGGCCATCAGGGCATCGAACGGACTCTGGAGTTGTTGCGACAGCGGTGTTACTGGCCGGGTATGTCCTCTGATGTGGCACATTGGTGCCAATCCTGTGAGAGGTGCCAGGTGGCCAAAGGCACTAACTCTGCCACCCATAGCTTCATGGGGCATTTGCTGGCTTCTCGGCCTAATGAAATCGTGGCCATAGACTTCACGGTCTTGGAACCAACCCAGGCTGGGGTAGAAGATGTTCTGGTCATGACGGATGTGTTCAGCAAGTACACGCTTGCCGTACCCACTCGTGACCAGCGGGCCTCCACTGTGGCTCAGGCTCTGGTAACTGAATGGTTTTGTAAATTGGGGGTGCCTGCCCGCATCCATTCAGATCAGGGTCGAAATTTTGAGAGCAATTTGATCCAGCAGCTCTGTAATCTTTATGGGATTACGAAATCTAGGACCACTCCTTACCATCCCGCCGGCAATGGACAGTGTGAGCGTTTCAACAGAACGCTGCATAATCTCTTACGAACCTTGCCAGTTTCTCGGAAACGAGACTGGAGCTCCTGTTTGCCTCAGCTCCTGTACTCTTACAACACCACTCCCCACCAGGCAACTGGTGAGTCCCCGTTCTTTTTAATGTTTGGGCAGGAGCCAAGACTCCCACTGGATTTTCTATTGGGTCAGGTACAGGAGCCGAGAAGTGGAAGCATTCATGAGTGGGTCCTAGAACACCAGGCCCGTTTGCAGATCGCCTTTGAAGGAGCACGTGAAAGGTTAAGGGTCGTGGCTGAGCGGCGGAAGAACCATCATGACCAGCAGGTCCGTGATGCTCCCTTACAGGAGGGCCAGTTGGTGTACCTCCGTAATATGAGCCACAAGGGACGTCACAAAATTCAAGATTTGTGGGGTTCTGTAGTATACCGGATTTTGAAGGCCCCGAAGGACGGTCACTCGGTGTACACCATTGTCACTGTTAATGATCCCACACAGGTTAAACATGTGCATCGTACGTTGTTGAAAGCTGTGGTTGGAGCTAGCGCTCTAGCCCCCCCTCCTTCAGTTCCTCCTGAGGAGCCACAGGTTGAGGATGAACCATCTGCTGATGGTGATTTGTTTATACTGAGGCAGGAGATTCCCCAGGCCAATGCCAGTCAGGCCCAGGCCACCCCGGAGCTGCCTCTTCTCTCCATAGATCCAACAGTACAAGGAACATCAGACGTTCCTTGTAATGCGGTAGCTGAGTTGCTACCGGAAGAGCTGGTTCCTCTACCGGTAGTAAACTCGGGCCGTAGTGAAAGGGCTGTTCGCCGGACAACACGGTCTACTGCTGGGCAGCATACCAATGTCCACCATCTCCCACGACCAACAATTTTCTCTGGTCCTACGTCTAATGCAATTGCAGGGTTCTTTAGGCCCTGGAACTAGCATGGTGTCTTAATTTGGTGGCATCGTCGGGGCGACGATGCATAAAGGGGGGGAAGACTGTAGCAGGAGGACATCTCCTCATGCTCCTGGAGGCAGGAGTGTTGGCTGCAGGGGCAGTGTCAGCCAATTGCCTCTGGAGGGCACCCTATAAAAGGAGAGTGGTGGCATTATCGGTTACCCTCTTCCTCTGGTTCCTCCGCTTTGCTTCCGGGTCGCCTCGGCTGCTGGTTAACGGTACAGGTAGGTTGCAGTGGCTGCTAGTGCGCTCTATGGATAATTGTGGTGCTGATGTGCATGTTTGGTTTGTTAGACAAGACGTTCCCGGTTACAGCGCTCGTGATCAGCGCGTCAATCAAACCTGGCCGTAATCGGCAGCTTTGCCTCCGTCCTCTTCCTCAGTGGGATTTCTCTGGTGGCCTGATCGGTATGTATGCTGTATGACAATTTGACACATTCACTTCCTGCTCCTCCACAAAGTAGTAATATTTTGTTGACAGGTCTATGTGGGGCCTGGTGATCTGGGGAATTCCAGCGGCGTTAACTTGGGAGAAACAACACAGCTTTGACACGTTTCAGCTGCAGCTTTTTGATAGCCCACGGCAGTCGGACGCCTGAGCTGCGGCTCCACCTCGGTTCCAATTGTTGTTTAACCACGGCGGTGCGGTCTGAGACGCCTTAATCAGCCGGTATCGTGGCTGGTTAAACTTGGAGTCCGCCGGCAGCAGAAATTGCCCTCTTCCAGCAGCATAGGCTGGGCTGGATTATTCAAGGGGCTGTTTATGTGACAACTGTTCAACCTCTGTTACTGGACTGGTTCTTGATTGTTATTATTCCCGGTATTATTTTTCTTATCCTGAGTTTATTCAGTTATCTGGGTTGCCTGAGTCCATGGGGAATTGTATTTTGGGTTCCAATTGTTCCTGTGACTATTAATGTTTGTTTTTTTGGGTTATTCTTTTTTTCTTTTTTTCTCTCCCCTTATAGTGTGTGTGCGCGTGTGTGTGTGAAAAGCTATTTATGCCCCTCTTTGTCTTTTCAGTTGCTGAGAGCTGACGTGGTGGTTCCTGGTGTCCTGGTGGTGGGGACTTCCCGTTTTGGTGTGCAGTGCCGCCCCCTTCTAGTCCATTGTTTTACAGAGTGCATGTGTGTAGTGGCTGTCACGAGTGATTTGGGGTGCCTTCCTTTCTGTTTTGCTTTATCTACTGGGATCACTCCTCACTTCGCCTCGACCCACTCCATCAGGTAAGCCTCAGCACCTGAATTAGGCTCCCCCCCTCGCCTTCCCGTGTGTGTGGGTAGTATATTTTAACAAGACCTGTTATTTTAATCATGTTTAAATAAAGAATTGCTGTTTTTTCTAAATTATAACCACGTCTCTGACTCTCTCTATGGTAGAACGGATCTACGTATCCTACCTTTAAAATTAATTCTTTGGGTGAAATTCCCAAGGTGGCGTTATTGGTCCATTAGAAATCGCTAGTATCAGGTTCTCTTTCCTGTATACACCACCTGCTGCCACATAAATACTGAGTGCTGTACATGCTCATACTTTTCATGTTCATACTTTTCAGTTGGCCAACATTTCTATAAATCCTTTGTTTTTATTGGTCTTCAGTAATATTCTAATTTTCTGATATGATGAATTTGAGATTTTCATTTGTTGTCATTTGTAATCATCAAAATTAAACAAAATAAACATCTGAAATATATGAGTTTGTATGTAATGTATGAATATAATATACAAGTTTCACTTTTTAAATGGAATTACTGAAATCAATCTACTTTTTCATGATATTCTAATTTTATGACCAGCACCTGTACTTAATAAAACTGTTTCTTTCCACAACTGAAATTATATTTCAGACATTTGCTAAAAATATTCATGCTGAACATATTCAATTACTCTTTCAAGGAAACCAATTCTTTGTCATCACTGGTGATTTCCAGTTACACTGGCTCACTGTTCATGTACAGCCTTTACCTAAGATTGGATCTTAAATGATGGTTTATATTAAGATAGAATCACTTTCATGAACTATATCAGTAAAACAATATTACATTTGCTCATCTTCTACATCCCAGCTTAAAAAAATTATGGCACTAATGCATTTATACTGAATTAACTGTCTTAAAGATTAAATTAGATCAGGTGTAGAACATACAGTTTTGGTCAGGCTTCAGTCATGCATTATATTCCTCTAAATAAAGGCTTAAGATTGTCTTATTTCTATATAAAAATGTACTGGTCCCCTTAATGTCGCATTTAAATCTAGTTTTCAGTAGGATGTAGGCCATACAGTGTTGATAATATTACTAAATTGTAGCATTTTATCCTAGTTCCCAAGCGCTTTTTTTAATAGAAAATGAGGTGATGGTATTTACTGTTCTCTATGTGAGAGGCATTGAGAGGGTTGCATAGATAGTAATGTCGGGATAGCAGCTGGGACTGTAAATCTCATTTTGATGAATACTTGGCGTTACTTTTTGTATGAAGGCGAATGAATAGCACGATAATAAACAGAATTGACTATTTAATAGGGAAGCTTTTTCTCACAAAATACAATGTTTAAACTTTTAAACCTAAATATAATTAAGTATACTATAAAAATAAATATAAATATAATAATTTACTTTAATTATTTATGCTGGTATATGTTTGATAAAATAAGAAAAAAGTTACTACTGTAGCACCCAATCGTTTTCTTTGGCTTCTATTTATGTGAGTCCTCAGACTTTCCTGCTGTTATGAACTAATATGATGAGGCTGAGCAAACATCTTTGGAGGAAACATAACGGGATAAACAACTTCTATGGAAAATCCATTATAGCAGCATTTCACAATAGGTTATTCTGTCCTCTACATTGTGAATTTACTGCAGCTTGTTATGACTCAGCTGAATTGTTCTGCCAGGGTTGTAAAGGTTCTGTGGCTTGAGAGTATTCTGTTCTTTATATTTAAACAGCAGTGCTTAAAAGCATGTCACTAGGGTACATCTATGGTTTTGTGTGCTATATTTCCTTTATTAATTCAGTTTTCTCCTCCACTCGTTGGCAGCCTGAATGGTATAAAATTCCAAATGACATTTGTCATCTTAGGTGTTAAAGGCAGAAATATTTCCCATCAGAACAATTCCTAAAGATGGCCATGATGACACTAAATAATTGTCTTTAAATTATTTGATCAATTTAAGTGTTTTTTAAACAATATACAAATAAACCTGGAACATCTACTTAAAGTTTATTGTTGGTTTTGCAGGAATTGCAGAGAAAGCTGGCAAAAAGAAATAGATGGAGGATTTTAAGAAACAGAACATGGAAGTTTTTCCAAAAAAAAAAGTTAAAAAACATAACCACTTTTTTTCTTTTCCAAGTTTGAAGAAGTTTTAACATCCCATCCAGAAAGCTTTAACTATTTAAAATGACTGGAGTGATTCGGAGCTCCAGGCTTTATAGAATTGCACAACAAAAGCTTTGTTATGGCTTAGAAAACATTCAAATTGAAACGAAACAGGTCTTTTTTCCCTTTTTTCAGGGACTCTAATACCATCCTGAAAAAGCTGGACTTTGACCGCAAACTCTGCCAGCATTGCTATTTGTAGACCACAAGGATGGAAAATGTATATAAAAATGAACCCTAGATCAGACTGATTTCATGACTGATTTTTTAACAATGAATAACACCCTAAAATTCCTTCTGAAAACTTGAGAGACACCTCAGATTGTATTTATCAACATTTTACTACAGCAAATTAGAAAAAAATCAGTACAAGTATATTTTATCCGCAGACAAATTTTGGTGGGCTTTCAGTTTTATTGAGGCGAATCTGGTGAAATGGAGCTGCTGATTTCAAATGTAGGTCTCCTTACTTTGACAGAGCCTTTGATGAGGTCTTTTACATTACCGTATTTTCACGACCATAAGGCGCACCGTACTAAAAGGCGCACTCTCAGTTATGTGTGCCATTTCTGTATTTAACACACACATAAGGCGCACCGGACTATAGGGCGCGTTTTTTATATACAGGTACATGTCCTCTACTACCTTTAAATACCTCTACTGCGTATTCAAAAATACAGCGGGGGCAAAACTGAGTATGATTGTGCTTTATTCATGTATTTATTGCAAAGTATTAATCAAACCTGGGTGCTGGCCGTGAGACAGACACATCGCAGATGACACAGCGCTGTGATCGCTCCTAAATTAACTTAAAATCCTGAAACCTGCCGACGGAATTTGTTCGCTTTTATTACCGGTATCCTGGTGCCTGCAGTTAAAATTATTTAGATGAAAAACACCTGCCAGCAGCCGCGGTGAACCTGGAGGCTGCCCAGCCTAGAGGCTGCTGATGAAAGGATTTCTAATGTCGGTGCACCGCTGGTATGTGGGGGTCTGAGCGCCTCCGACAGAAATAGATAATCTGGATGAACTGACTGCAATTATTAAGTTTTCAAGTGGACTTTCTCACTTAAAAACATATTAAAACTACTTTATTCCCACTGATCACAGCAAATATAGCTGCAAGATTTAGATTATTTAGATGAAAAAACACCTGCCAGCCACCGCGGTGAAGAGGAGGAGACGCGCCCAGAGGCTGCTGTTGAATTAAGTGTTCAGGTAGAAAAATAGAGCGGGAGCAAAACTGAGTATAATTGTGCTTTATTCATGTATTTATTACAAAGTATTAATCAAACCCATCAAAATCATCATCCTCTGTTTCTGAATTAAACAGCTGCGCTTAATCAGACATGCCAGTTTCCCCTTCTTCGCTGTCAGAGTCACTTTCCGTGCAGCGCTGCTCCTCAGAAATAATGCCGGCTTTTGCGAAAGCTTGAACAACAGAGCCAGCAGACACGTTAGTCCAAGCATCTACAATCCATCCGCAAACTGTGGCGTAACTTGCCCGGCGCTGCCTTCCACTTATCCTGAAACTGTGGTCTCTGTCGGCCATCCATCGCTCCCACGCTGCTCGCAGCCTTACTTTGAACGGCCGCTTCACACCGATGTCGAGCGGTTGAAGTTCCTTTGTCAGACCCCCCGGGATAACAGCGAGCACAGCGTTCATTTGATTCACCTTTTTTTTTCACATCGGCTGTGAGATGGGCACGCAGCGATGGTGATGCGTGGAAAAAAACACCTGTTCTCCTCACATACACCTGCCTCAGCCACGCTTTCATCATCTCCTCATCCATCCAGCCCTTTTCATTGGCGTTAATATCATATGTCATCAGAGCGCTGTCTGTCTCGCTGTCAGCTCCCAGATCTGCTTCTCTGATTGGTTGAGGCGGCGCGTCCAGCAGCAAAACTTCAATTTTTCCATCTCGAGCAGCAGCAGCGCGTTGGCAGATGCTTAAACGCTCCTGCTGCTCAAAACGCGCTGCTGGACCTTTAGCTGCACCTATACGCGCGTCAACCATTGACTTTGCATGTAAACTCGCTGCTTCTGCTGCACCTGCTGCGTCCGGTTCACACCGATGTCGAGCGGTTGAACAGCGAGCACAGCGTTAATTTGTTTCCCCATATTTTTGACATCAGCTGTGAGATGGGCACGCATGGAGTTACATATTAACAGCGATGGTGATGAGTGGAAAAAAAACACCTGGTCTCCTTACATTCAGCCACTCTTTCATCATCTCCTCAATGAGGTGGTCTCAAAAGTAGCAGTTACAACACACATAGGGCGCACCGCACCAAAGGGCGCACCGCACATTTTTAGGGAAAAAAAAGACGTTTAAGTGCGCCTTATAGTCGTGAAAATACGGTATATATCTTCAATTGGAAGATATCATTCTGTAGTTTCCAACAATACCAGCCATGAGGGGCAGAGCAACATCATATCTGTGTCCTCAAACACTTTTAGGATGAATCTGCCATCTTTTATTGAGTCTTATATTGCATCCTCTTTTTTGTGTATGTCCTAAAATACATTGCTCTAAAACATAAAGGGAACATGTGAACAACACAATATAAATCAAATCAAAGCTCTTTGAAATCAAACTGTCCATTTTGGCTGGGCATACACTGTACGATATTTTCATTCGTTCAATCAAGCTACAGCTCAAACTGTACGATGAAGTTTAAAAGTTCACAGCACAAGATGTATGTTCTTAGACTGTATGATCCAATGCTCTGATGCGATTTAACTGCTCATACTGTAAG